TCCATATACTTCCTAACCTACCTGATCCCCCATCCCACCTCAATTCCTGTGTTGTTTTTTTCTCCTAGAAAAGTCAGGTTATCTTTGAGTCTCCAGTTCAAGTACAACTTGCCTTTTCTTTCCTATGGCTGATTTGTTTATTTTTATCTAATGTAAAACAAAATAATGAAGGGGAAGAAAACTGACATTATTTCTGAAACCCTAAATTTATGTCTGAGTAATATCTCTGAAACTGAATTCTCATAAATGGAGTGCAGCATTTATTATAAAATTCAAAATAAAGGAATGTTTACAATACTATAATCGGTCAAACGCCATCCCCAGGTAAAAATAACATATAAACTGTGGGAGTTTAATTCTCCATATGATAGTAGCATTTGGATTTGATGTAGCTCATGCAGACTGGGATTGTGTTCAGAGCCATGCTGTCACAAAACAAGAGGCGTTACATACCATATAAACAGCAATACTTGACAAAATGGCCAGTAATGAATTAGGGCATGTAGGTTTATGTCTGAATTGGTTCTATAAAACATTCATATAAAGTCTATTAGTGTATGTCTTCATTGCATAGTTATTTAGAAATAAACTATTCTGGAAGAAATACTCCCAAACAGATTATTTTGAAATAGCACGTCTACACTACAAGGAAGCCTCAAAATTAGTCCGAGGCAGGCTTCCTTAATTTGGATGTGCTACCTCAATTTAGAGCCCCAGAAGGCACTGGTGAGTAATTACTTTGAATGGCCCGGGGGAGGAGCTATTTTGAAATAGCAGCAGTGAAGGGTCCACACTACAGCTGTTTTGAAATAGCTGTTTCTGAATAGGTGTTATTCCTCATGGAATGAGATTTACAGAAGTCAGAATAAGCCATCTGTTATTTCGAATTTATTTCAAAATAATGGAATTGCTGTGTAAACGCTCGCATTATTTTGAAATAATGTTATTTCAAAATGACTGTGCTGTGTAGACACACCCTTAGAAAAGAACGCTTTTTGTTTTTCAATATACTTAAATCTGTGGTGAGGACCACTTCCAGTAAGTAGCTAACTAGTTTTTTACGCCATGGTAGCCTCAAAATTTTCATTATTTTTTTAATAAAGACCATTTTTAGTGGGCAATCATTTTTGCAGGTTTCTTGAGTATTCTTTTAAGACATTCACTATACATCTATCAGTTGCCCTCAGAAGTATTCAGAGTTTGTAGAGTAGTGCTATTCCCCCCCTCCTATTGACAGCAGACTCATCATAAGATTTAAATTCTCTTGCTTTTAATTTGTAAATCTTAGTAGTGCTGTCCTTTGAGTAATGCCTGCCTCCATGCAGTTATAATAAGTACAAGAGCTTTTGTTGTTGCTGAAGGACTAATGTTTGACACAATGGTTTGTTAAATCTGAAGCATAGGGATATATAGGATAATCTTTGAAAATATGGAAACCAAAATATAAGTTGTCCACATCACACCTATACATAGAAAATTTTAACTAAACTATGCAACATCCAGCTCAGTAGAAGGAGAATCTCATCAGCCCAAGAAAAAGAAGCAAGATTTTGAAGGGAATTGTTCCCCTACTATGTCTGAAGAACAAAATTAGGGTGCATCTACACTGCACCGTTATTTTGAGATAACTAGCGTTATTTCAAAATAACAATATGAGTGTCTACACAGCCATTCTGTTGTTTCAAAATAATTTCAAAATAACGGCTTATTCCAAAATCTGTAAACCTCATTCTACAAGGAATAACACCAATTCTGAAATAGCAATCTGAAATAAGGCATGTATATAGATGCTCCACTGCTGCTATTTTGAAATACCCTTAGAATGGCCCTGTTGAGGGGCTATGTCTACACTGCAACATTATTTTGAAATAACTAGTGCTGTTCCGAAATAACTTAGTTCCGAAATCTATACAACAGGCAGTTATTTTGAAATAGTGTGAAAATACTGTCAAGCTGGAAGACTTCTTACTTCGAATCCTGCAACCCTCATTGTACGAGGAATAAAGGAAGCCGGAGGAAGAGTGCTCTATTTTGAAATAAGTGCTGTGTAGACAGACGTTCCCTATTTTGAAATAAGTTATTTCAAAATAAGATACGCAATTGACATAGGTCAATTTGCATAGCTTATTTCAAGTTATGCCTTGCTATGTAGACGCACCCTAAGGTTTTCCTCCCTACTGCCTGCTGGGGCTCTCAATCGAGAGAGCACATCTACATTAGGGAAATCTGCCTTGGACTAATTTTGAGGCTTCCCTGTAGCGTAGACGTACCCTTAGAGATTTAAAACTGTAGTGGTATCATAAAAAGCTGTTTTAAATATAATAGATTACATTAGTCCTTACAATGTATTATTATAAATACAACTTTTTTGGAAAGACTGGGGGAGTTTAAATATAATCACAGAGCTTTCTACACCGAGTTTGTTACTTAAGGAAATACTTTTCAGTTTGTTACACTACATTCCCTCACTTCCGTCAAAGAATTTTGCCACTGATTTCAGTGGGGCCAGGATTTCACCCTGGGCTTATTTTAAAGCATGTGGGTAATCCCAACCCAATAAGTTTAGGAAATGTGAAATTCATTAAAGATTAAAATAAATGTGGTAATTTAGTAAAATATATGAAACAATAATTTGCTCTTGAACTACAACAAATAAAGCTGAAAAAATGTATTAATCCTACGTTTCTTGTATACCTGTGAACTTGAGCTACTTATGAAACATATCTTAGTTTTCTACATGTTAAGTCTTATTACTGAACTCAAAAATATCATGGATGGCCCTATAATTAGAAAATTAAAACCAGCCTTTAATGCATGTTTGAAATGCAGGTTAGCAAGAACTGAGATAGTAACCAAGCTAATATTTATGAATATATTGTACTTATTGAATACCTCCTTTAAAGCCGTAAAAATTATGAATGCAGCAGTCTAGAATCCTTGTCCTACTAAACCATAAGGAATAGTTGATGACCAATATGATAGTGACTGTTGTAAAGAGCAAAATAATATTTTTTCCCAACCAAAAATTCTCACAGATAAAAATCCTGAATATTTGTATAGTTTACATGTCACCAGAGCATGTTAATGGGTTTGTTTGTTGCCTTCCATCCTGTATTGGCTTGATTAACCTCCCCAAGTAACAATGGGAGTTGTGTGAATAGGGAGGGAAGAACAGAATTAGTGGTGTGAAGCAGACCCTATGAACTCTCTTCAAAATGTTTTTTATCGTAAAATCTTCTGTTAATTCAGTATGTGCTTCTCTAATGACCTTATCCTGAAGCCTTTACTTAGGTGAGTAAGCCTATTAATTTAATGACACCACTATCTATGTAAGAGCTGGAGCACCATGCCCTTAATGGTCAACGTTCAATCAAGGAAAGATTGAGCATCACATTGTCTTCTGTTCTGCCATACTGTATTCCTGTTTGTTCATTGGAGATTATGAATACCAACATAAATACATTACTTGGAATCAAATTGTGCAATGACTAACTTTTATATAAACACATGGTTTTGCTGGTACTCTTGTCCTGCCTCTCCTGTCTTCTTTTAGTATGTGCTGCATTCACTTCTGTCTTCTCTTAAATTAGACTGTAAACCCTTTGGATCAGTGACTTTATCTTGCTGTGTGTTTATATACCACCAGTATAATGGGATCCCAATGTGTATTGTCATAATACAAATAGAACAATAATAATCAAGACATTCATCACTGAAACAAATATGTACAACGTGTAGACTCCAGATTATCCATGCCCACCCTCTGTCTGAATGTATTTACCTAATAAACCGTGAACCTATTCCTATTGAATCATGTTCTAATTATTTAAACATATCTGGTGTTGGTTCAGTGATCCAAATAATTAGTGTCTTACTGTACAATGTGCAAAGGGTTGTTTCACAGTGCAGATATTATTTCTACTACAATGTTCAAATAATCTGTTTTTAAATCTTTTATACCTCCATGAATACCAAACTTCATATCTACTTTATCTTTAACTTGCCTGGCAGGGCTTGGTATAATATTTAGGTGAGCTTCCAGCTTCCTGGCTTTTATTGCAGTCCTCTTTTTTAAAAAAAATTGGTTCGCCCTTCAAATGAGCTGAAATTATCCTAAAGAAGTTGCAAAGAAGAAATTAAGATTTTAGTACTGTTACTGTTTACTTAAAAAAATCCAAGGTTTTGAAGATAATCTAATACCAGTATTTTGATAACAAAAATAACAGCTGTAAGAATATGATGATCATTTAGAGACTAAAAGTGGACCTATCTCAATATTTATATAGTCCCTCTCTTGTTAGTAAGCCACTTTGATAGCTATATGAGACTTTTTGTTAACCGTTTTCCTTTGAAATGAAACAGAAGCACAAATTTGACCTTTTTTAAAAAAATGTGCCATTAAAGACAGTTACCATACTCTCAATGCACTATAGAAAACCGTTTGGAAATAGTCAAGTGGAATGAGACTGATGTTTTAATAATAATTATTTGCATCTTTATTGTTACTTAGATGTTCTCAATGTATGTATTGCTGCAACAGGCTTCCCCCATTTTATCTCTCCATTAGTTACAGTATGTTTACTGATAACTTATTTGAAGTCAACAATGGCATGTTAGCTCTGAGAAGTGAACAAGCTACAATAGTATGAAAAGAAAATATTTAATGAAGTATGTTCAATCTGATTTTTCAATATTAATAAGGAGGTCATTATTTTAGTACCTCCATCTATGGCTAATTTGTCCAGTTGATATATTTCATAAGAAAAGCATCAAAGATAGAACATATTTTAACTGAAATATCCGTTGGTATACTTCATTTAAAAAAGGACTAGCGAAAAATCTGACATAACTACATACAGTGCAATTCAAAGAGAAGATGCAAACTGTCTTGTATAGATTGCATGTAGTTTCTCTGTTGTGAGTTTTCACTGCTGTTGTAGATTAATTAGTTCTTTAAGGATAAATAACTGATTTCAAACACAGTCTTTTTTGTCTTCTAGGTCTTGAATCATCACGTCCAAATTTAATTCTTGGCTTAGTGATTTGTCAAAAAGGTAAACGTCCTGCAACTGTTCTGGAGTCGGACAAGATGGAAGAAAAGCGAAGCAGAATTCAAATACAGGAAGAAAATGAAGTATCGGTGTATCCTAAAGGCCCTCTTGCTTCTCAGCAAGAAAAGAAACTTCCAAAATACACACTTTATACTGGAGATACAGCTGTAGGTACAACACCACCTGGTTCACCACCACCACCACCACCACCACCACCGCTTCCCATTCAAGAACCATCTCCAATGACACCTTCAGTGTTAAAAATACTGTCATCAATTAAAACCGGAACCACAACAACCATGACACTGCCAGTTCCAACTTCAGCAACAGTCACTGGCACAACAACATCCTCTCCAACAACTTCAAAAACAGCCACACCTCTTGAGCACATCCTTCAGACTCTTTTTGGAAAAAAGAAAACTTTTGATTCTGTTACTAAGGACCCTGAAACTGTTCAGTCATCAAATCAGGAAGCTCAACTTACAATTGATGGAGGATCAGCTGCTCCTTTATTAGATCCAATTGTACAGCAGTTTGGGCAGATGTCCAAAGATAAAGTTATAGAAGAGGAGGAAGATGACAGACCATATGATCCTGAAGAAGAATATGAGCCAGACGGAGGTTTTGAAATACACACAGGTGAAAGTGAAAAACTTTACGATCTTGAAAAGCCTTGTGAAACATCTGAACAGGAGGATGAGGCCTATGATCCAGAAGATGAAACTATCTTAGAAGAAGCAAAAGTTACTGTTGATGATTTACCTAATAAAATGTACACAGATGTGAAAAGCAACACTGTGGAAACATCTGCCCCATATGTATCTGATCTGCCTGCTTCCTCGTCCTTGGTAGAACAGCAGAAAATGTTGGAAGAATTAAACAAACAAATAGAAGAACAGAAACGGCAACTGGAAGAACAAGAAGAAGCCCTTAGACAACAAAGAGCAGCTGTTGGTGTTTCAATGGCTCACTTTTCAGTGTCTGACGCTTTAATGTCACCGCCACCAAAATCGTCCATAACAAAGACTGACTTATTCCAACAGGAACAACAAACTACAGAAAAATCAGATATACCTTCATCCTCAAATCAGCAAGCCCAAGTGCTAAACCAGAGCTCTGATCTAAGACAAAGTAGAGATCCTCGACAGGCTAGAAGAATGGTAATGGAGAATAATGACAGTGCTGATTCTCGGATAAAGCCACAAATAGTGCACAATGAGACACTTACAAAAGAAGTTCTTCCACTCAGTTATCCAGGTTCATTACAGACTTCACTTGACAAGGAAGATAAAACATTAATTTCTGCTACCGCTACTGGGTATAGTGAGGATAAGTGGGTTCCAAGTGAAAAAGTTGCTACTGTGTCTGAACAAGGTGCATCTAATATCAAGATGGAAAACACTGCTAAAGTTCATCTGGAAAATGTGAATCAAACAGCTTCTGGAGAAACTTCCACAGCCAAACCAATACGTAAAGTACTGCTTCCAACACCTCCCAGTACATCTTTTCAGCGCAATTTCCCTATACCAAATGATGGTCAGTCTTTGCAAGATTTGCATAAAGTACCTTGGTCAAATGAGTCACAAGATATTAATTCACCATCAGTAGAAAGAGATTCTTTTTCAAATCCAAACTTTACAGCTCAGGAAAAGACAGTTGGTCACTTTGAACCAGAAAGAAGTCTCTCTTCAGTACAATACGAAGATCAAAGAAACTCTCAGTCCCGTCAGTTTGCAGAACAAACTGAATCTCCAGCTGTTCAGAGTGAGGGCGAAAGAGGACCTCAACACTTTGAAGAAAACCGAGGAGGGCCTCCATTTCCTTTGCCAGGGCAAAAAGGAGGAGTTCCACCACTGATGTTTGGTACATCTGTGGGACCTCATGGACCCAATTATCTTGGACAGAGAAAAGAAACTCTCAGTCCCGTCAGTTTGCAGAACAAACTGAATCTCCAGCTGTTCAGAGTGAGGGCGAAAGAGGACCTCAACACTTTGAAGAAAACCGAGGAGGGCCTCCATTTCCTTTGCCAGGGCAAAAAGGAGGAGTTCCACCACTGATGTTTGGTACATCTGTGGGACCTCATGGACCCAATTATCTTGGACAGAGATGGTTCTGCTCCAAATAATGATGGAGAAAGAGGACCTCCACCTGGCAGATTTGGAGGACAAAAAGGAAATATTCCTTCATTGTTTTCTACACAACATGGGCCATCTCCTCTTTTTGGTGATAATAGGGGTCCTTCATCTTCCTATCTTGGTGGTCCTAGAGGAATGTCACCATCTCAGTTTGAAGATCGTAGGGAACCTCACATGGAACAAAGGGATTTTCCAGATTCACAATATAATGAAATGATTAGGCCTCCTGGACAGTTTGAAGGACCAGAACCCCCCCAGTTTATGGGAAATAGGGGGCCTTCACCTTTTCATTTTGGAGGTCAAAGAAGACCTCCACCATCTCAGTTTAAAGGACAAAGAGGAGGGCCTCCACCACCTCAGTTTGGAGGGCCAAGAGGTCCTCCACCTAGTCATTTTGGAGGATCAAGAAGTCCTCATCCAAATCAATTTGAAGGGCAAAGAGGTCCAGCTCCAAGTCACATGCCAGGGCCCAGAGGTCTTCTGCCACAGCCTTTTGAAGAACGGAGAGGGAGTCCACCACCCAGATTTGCAAACCAGAGAGGGCCAGCACCACTTCATTTTGGAGGACCAAGAGGAACTACACCTGCATTTCTTCCAGAACAAAATGAACCTCCTCCTAGATTCCATTTTCAGGGGCAACCTCCACAACAAGGTATGAAACCAACCCCTAGACCTCTCCTGGAACTTCCAAGTCATCCACCACCACACAGGAAGGAGATGTGGGATGAAGCAGGACCATCTGCCTCTCTTTCTAATCTTTCAGGGCAAGGACCTGAGTCAGAAGCACAGTGGCCGGCGGCATCTGATTTCCGAGAAGGCAAAAATGTTGAATTTAGAGGTCAGACTTTTGAAGGGAGACAAAGGGAGAGGTATGAAGGAGGAAATAAAGAAAAGGTATTAGATCAGCCAGAGGGTCAACAGTCAGAAAATCGACAGGGCAGAGGGTTTGAAGATAGACGAAGGGATCGGGAACATGGCCGACCTTGGGAAAGAGATCAAGGCAGAAACTGGAATAGAGACAGGGAAAGGGACTGGGAGAGACAGAGAGACAAAGACTGGGATAAAAACAGAGACAGAAATCAAAACAAAGATAGGGAGAAAGATTCGGAGCGAGCAAAAGAATGGGAAAGAAACAGAGACCGAGAGAGAGCCAGAACCAGAGAGAGAGATTCGTACAGAAGACGTGATAGGGACAGATCAAGAAGCCGGGACAGGGATCGTGACAGAGATAGAAGCAGGGAGAAAGAAAGAGATCGAGAGAGGGATAGAGACCGAGACAGAGGGAGAGATCGAAAAGACAGAAGTAAAAGTAAGGAAAGTGGTAAAGATTTGAAGCCCGAACCACAGAAAGAAACTCAAAAGCCAGCAGAAACAGAAGTTGCTTCATTTTCCACTAATCAGACATAGAAATAATTCACAATTAATTATACCTATTAAATGATTATTAATTTTGAAAAAAAAGAACTAACTTGAGGTCTCCTGTATATACTGTATATTTTCATCTTTACAAGGATGCCTTTGTAAAGCTAGCCTTACAAAATGTGTTGACAAATGAAAACAGTTTTTTAAAATCTGTAAATGAGACTATTCAAATAGATAAGAAGCAAGAATATACTGGACTTTAACTTGCACCATTTTGTGTATAATGTTTTTCTTACAAAAATTCACAGCGTTAACAGTTATGAGAGTTTGGTTTTTTCTACTTACAGCTTTATCTTAAAATTTCCATTTAAAATTAATACAGAAATGGAAAAAGTCTACAAAGAGCATATTGCTTTTTAAGATTACAAAGTTATGTTTTCCAGTAACTTGAATTGCAATTTTATAAGAGAATCTAATCAAGACCTTAGGAGCCATACCTTTACATCTCATGTATGTAGTATTTTGGTGTAAAAAGTTGTTCCTACAGCACATCCTTACAAGAGGAGTCTGATATTGTTGTCTTGTGATCCTGCAATGGGTGGGTTGTGTATATTTAAGAAATGGCTGCAGAAGAACAGTGTTATTGCTTATTTGTAACTGACAGAGTATTTGAATATGAAATAAGTTTAAAAGTGCACTATCTTCCATTTTATATAAAGGTATATGGAATCCAGCTGTTGAGAGATCAACAGAGAAACACAGGTTTCTACATCAATAACTTTTTTTTTCACGAGGCTACAAAGTTTTAAACGTTGCATTATTACAAAAATATAATTAAAAAATCTCAACACCTCTGTATCCAGTGGAACTCTGAGGTTTTAAAAGTATCATACATTGGCAAATAATTAAAATTAGTAAATGAATAAACTGGTAAACCAAAGGAATGGAAAATAAGCTGGTTAAATATACTACTAAAGCTGTTATTTTGGTTATGCTGATTCTTGCAAAGAATTTTGTTGGCAGAATGTTTCTGTTTAGAGATTTAAGGATTTTCTCCACTTTTTCTGTAATTTATAGTCAAGAACTATTTTGCTCCCATACTAAAATGTCAGTGCTTTTTGGCAATTCCTAATAATGCTACGGTGTATTTAAAAGTTGGCCACTGAAAATAAAAATGTGCATAAAGTTTGGACTAGAAAAGGTGATATTAGTTTAATGCTATAGCTCAAGGGAAAGCTTTTCACTGTGCAATACAGCATACTGCTACTTTTCATGTATTCTTCAAGTACATAATTCTGAAGTGTGAAACAGAAAATCCTGCTAATTTATTTGAACTTGTAAATTTACAGTTGGGTAAATATTTTGATACTTTTATAAAATAATTTTGCAAATGTAAAATTAGATTCCTACTAACATTTGCATCTTGAAGTCTACATTACAAGTATCACTATTCCATATACATCACTACAGATTTTACACTTTATATTGGTGCATCTTTGAACTCCTTTAATATCAAGGACACAGCTGATTTAAATAATGGGCTGTATTCAAAACTTGTTGTCAAAATGATAAAATGCAGAGAGGTGGTATTAAATGCAAACATCTACTATGCTGTAAGATTTTTCTTTTTACTGAGATGTTTCTAATTTAAAGACATACATAAACGTATGCAAAAAATCAAGTGTGTTTGTTTAGGTTTACTTGATAGAAATTTCTGTAAATTGTATTTTATATTGCAAAATATATCACTGTACATTAAAATGTCAGACTTCACAAGTTTTTGTTACTGTAAGTAGAATAAACATCTACAGAGATTTGTTGTCTTTTTCTTAAATCTATGTACATATTTTAGTTATATCATTACTACTTTTTAACAATATAAACAAGTGTTACTATTTGAGAGGCTTCAGAGAAGAATGGCATAAAACCAGTTGCTAAGCATTGGTGGATCTTTTGCTAATTCTTTATTCTGAACAAGGATGGTGCTTTCAAAACAATGTATTTAATAATTGACATCAACTAACTGTTCTGAAAGGCAAGTGAGATCTTTATTTTGCTTGTTCAGGATTTTTTGAAATTAGCCATTGAAAAACATTTTTTCATTGTGTTCCAAATTTTTTATTTGAATTATGAGATTGTCATTTGCAGTTCATACATCAGCTGATCTAATGAGAAGTTCCTTTGATAAACAGCTCAGCTGCTCTCTGCCTATGCAGAGATGAAAGGGGGGAAATTCATCCCGCTTATGAAGAACAAAGCCATCTGTGATTTAGAAGCAAGTGGAGTGACTCTACAAGGGACTTCTATGCTTTCCATCTGCTAGGATGGTGGTCTCCATAGCAATATCAAATAGACTTCTGCATATGTCCGTGCTGGGATTTGGTCAAGTTAGGGTCTGGTAAGATTGTGCTTATATAAATCCAGTAACCAGGAAATTTGAAATCAGTGGCATTAACAAGATTGGTGATTGTTCCATTTCATAAGCATGGCCTTGTTCACTATGGGGTGAGCCAGACTTCAATTCTACTGCAAGATATTCTTTCTAGATTTCAGAACCTGGGCCTAAACCAAGAGAGAAGCACTTTTTGCAGAGGGCACTTCACAGTTTTGGTACGTGATTGTGGGCTGGCTTTGGACCCTATAGGTGTGGGGCTTCCGGCATAAGAGGTGGGATGGGGGCTACAGAGAGAGAGGGAAAACCCTGCACTCAACTCTCACCTCCTGAGGTTCAGGCAGTCGCTGCACTCCTCTTCCAAGACTGACGCCCCCTCCCGCAGCGCGCCTGGCACACATCTGGGTTCAGAGCGTGGGGCCCGATTTGGGGGAATCGGAGGAATCCGCCTAAGGCCGGCTCTGCCAGAATGATCCCTATTGCCTTTATCTGAGTTATTTTGCATTTAGGCTAATCTACTTAAGAGCAAAATTTCATCTTAACATTTCCTCCTAGCCTAGGTTCAATAGTATCTTTATTGTGCTAATGTAACCTCCGCCTTTTCCAGATGTGGTGTACTAACCCATGTAGTGGCACTTAGACCACTTTCAGACTCTGTCTACACTATGTGGTGTGTTTTTTTTTTACAGCAGGGCAATACAAATGAAGTACTGATTAGCATTTTCTTGTGCTTCGTTTGCATAGTTTCTTCTGATCCATTTTTGCACAAAACCATGCAGTCTGGATGTTTACTTCATGTTTTTGCACAAAAACCTTGCTCAAAAATGGATTGGAAGATACTATGCAAATGGAGTATGCAAAAATGTTAATCTGCACTTCATTTGCATTGCCCTCCCCCCAAAAAAGTAGTGTAGACATAGGTTGAAGGAGGAAGAAAGTGCTTTATAGCCTTAGGTGAGAGCTTGCTGGCTTTTAGGTCAACCTGTAGAGGCTCATGCACTAAGCGCCAAGGGTCCTAAATTCAGTTCTGCCTGGCAGTGCTACACTATAACAGTTTTACTATACTCATAACTATTTCAGCCTAGTCAAATACTACTAGCACGTTTTTATGTGATGACATGAGACACCCCTCAAGGCTTCTCTTACTACATTTCCCTCTCGTGTGTTCTTTGGATTTATTTCCCTTAAACTACTGCACTGGTGGTGTCATTTATATTTGTGGGGGGGAGTGATTTGTACAAGCTCACGTAAGCCAGTGCCAGAGCTGGGCCCAGAAAGGTCTTGCAGCCTGATGTGCTGGGGGTAGGGACCGGGGTGGGAGGTGGAGAGGGGAATGGGGGGCAGGAAGGGGGAGCTTATGGGGAAGACTTTGGATTTATTTCCCTTAAACTACTGCACTGGTGGTGTCATTTATATTTGTGGGGGGGAGTGATTTGTACAAGCTCACGTAAGCCAGTGCCAGAGCTGGGCCCAGAAAGGTCTTGCAGCCTGATGTGCTGGGGGTAGGGACCGGGGTGGGAGGTGGAGAGGGGAATGGGGGGCAGGAAGGGGGAGCTTATGGGGAAGATGCAGTAGGTGCCTGCTAAGACGAAAACGTCCTGCGGGCGGTGGGGGCTGTGGCCGGAGGGGGTGGG